TTGCAATAGATAAACAATCAAGCACATGACCGATCCTACCACAAATGTAATGGTTCACCAGCCACCACCCTAGCAAGATCCACATCGCACACTCCAAACCCTTGAAAAAAGCTTTTGAAAATGATTTTCCCAAGCACAGTTGTCACTCGGCCCTCGCCATCTATGTATCACCCCCTCAATTCAAGGAAGGTACGTTTTTCGGCTACTAGTCGTTTATTGTTTATCTACTAGTATCTACTAGTCGTACTAGTAGCCGAAAAACGTACCTACCTTGAATTAAGATGTCTAGTCGTAAAAGCTTGAAATCATGTATCACCCCCTATTCGTGGCTTGTCTGCCGGCACTGGCGGATCCAAAAATGGTGGTCTTGGACGCTGCGGGGGCATACCCCAAAAAAGTTTCTCCAAATTAAAAAAGAAAACTCAACGGATTTTGCTTTCTTATGCACTGCTGTGCAGCTTAAAACAAACATTTCCCAATAAGTTGTTAAGTTTTCGTTTTATTCTCGAAAGAAAACGAAAATTTCCGTCGATATCGGGCGTTGGGGGGGGGGGGGGCAATGGGCATTTGCCCCAACTGCCCCCCCCCCCCCCGGATCCGACAGTGTCTGCCGGTCGGATGGGGTTTTGGTCCAGACTGGTGGTTTCCTATCCCCCCGTGTTCTGGTCCCAGACTGTGGTTTTCTATCCCCCGGTGTTCTGGTCCCAGACTGTGGTTTTCTATCCCCCGGTGTTCTGGTCCCAGACTGGTGGTTTTACTATTCCCCGGTGTTCCGGTCGCGGACGGTGCTCCTCCGGTCGCGGACGGTGCTCCTCCGGTCGCTCTCGGCGACGCTCCTCTCACCCCGCTCTGTCTGCCGCCGCCGGCGCAGATGGAGGCATAGAGAGAGAGGGCTTAGGGACGCCCCTATTGATCGCCCGACGCTAATCAAAATGGCTCCCTCTGGATAAAATAGAATTATGGAGAAGGGCTTCGGCGAGGGCCGCGCCGCCGATAAATGGAAGATAATCCGCTCCGTTCATATTCGCCGAGAGCGCGTTATCTGATGAATTGGAGGGGCATATGGGGTGGATATTTGAACAGGGGCGCTACTGACAGCAAGGTGACATTGGAGAGGCGCCATATGACGTAGGCAAACGAGGAGTGCTTCTATTCCTTGCACAACAAAAGCTGTGCTGGCTACCTATCTTTCATCGATGTAACTAGCTTTACTTCTTCATGCAACTACGCATAGAGACACGTACATAATACATATGCTCTTTTACTTTGGTTTTTGTTTTGGTGGTGCGAACCGTTGATACCTTCATTCAAACACGCTTGAAGTCTTATGTACACATATGGGGTCGGTACCTTGTTTATCTGTTTTCTTTTACTTTTCTTTTTTGTTCTTTCATTTTTTATTACATTTATTTTTTATGCTCACATTTTCGTTATTTCAGTATTGCAGACAAACCGCGCACTTCCTATATTAAATTTAGGAGAGCAGAGGCCGTTGGTCTGAGCTCGAGTCCCGCGTTAATTCGCGATCTCACCCCAATGTCGCTCCAATCCTGATCCCGTTACCGGCTCGTGAGGAGCTCAGCAGACGAGACCGGCTCAACGCACAGGCCGTGTAATCGCCGGCTCAAGCGGGCTTTACAGGCGAATTTCACTGTTTCTGAGCACCGCCGGTGTCCTTATATTCGGTTTTAGCGTGTCATACCACCGATAGCTGTCTCATTAGTCGACATTATCCCCGCAGAGGAGGACAGTTTGGTGCAGGTGTTCCCATCTCGGTCCAGCAAGTCCGCTGATATCCACCCACTTCATGATGTGGCCCGTCTTCTTTTCGATGTATGGCTACTTTGCTCTCATTCAGTGATGCCTACAACAGGCGGTAGTGTTTTGTTACCACACATTCCTGCTACAAAACAACGTCCTCGTTATCGTTAACGTCCCTGTTTATGTTTGTAATACATACTTGCGGCGTTTTACGCTTCAACATGTTGTAGGCTTTGATGTCTGTAATAGAGGAAATCACCAGTGATTCGGGGACTGCTCGGTGATCACTGACCGGTGTGTCGGGTTGTCACCCAAGGCTGCGCCGCTGTGGCCGCAGCCCCCCGGGTCGGCAGTCTCGCCCCCGGCCGGCGGTCTCAGCCGCAGCCTCCTCCAGTGTGCGCGCTGCGCGCTGCCGCTATGGCCGCGGCGCGCTGCCACCAGCCGCGGCCGGCGGCGACCGCTTTCATCCCGGCTCGAATTCGCCGGTCGGACCGTATTCGGCGGCCACTTACACAGAGACAGACGGCTGCGGAAGGGACTGCGGGTCCGCGGCTGCAGCGCCCCCGCGCCTGCCAACCAATGGCGGCAGCCATCTCCGCGTTTGGAGCGGGACAGACGTACCAACATACGCACGGAAACTGGCTCGAAACTGATTTTAGGTGTTCCGTGCGAAAACAGTACCCAGTACATATTTTGAATCGGATGTCCGTTATGCCTAATTATGACTGGCTGGCAAAAAAAAAAAGCAAAAAGAAGTATGTGTTTGTGTGTAACTTATACCAGTGCTGCAGATACTGTCAAATCGTAATCAGTGGACGGTACGTCCGATACCGATGCATTACAGTTTGCGGTACTCTTTTCGAATGGTGGTAACACTCGATCCGCCTTAGCCCCAATTACTAGGCACAGGCTCCCAATAGCGCCTCACTACCAAGCATCCTTCTTCTGTTGTAGTTCTAGGTGTGGAAGGTGGTCGATCCACTTCTTACCGCGTCATCGACTGCGGTCTCTGGTAAACCCACTTTGGGTGGTGATTGGTCAGTCAGTCATTTGTTTTTGATCTATGAAACGCCAATGTCTTAGCCAATCCAGCACCTGTCTTGGGTGGTCAGTATGCCTTCGACTTTGTAGAGCGGAACTCATCGTTATCTGTTATTCCGTGTCGTTGCCACCAGTTTCAATTCTATCGGCATTGTCCTACGGTCGTTCAACGGCCAATGATCGAGGTAATGCGACATCGGCCGTTAGCGCACCGTGTCCGTTGGCTCACGCCGCTCTGTATGTGGAGGTCCGTTCGCGGCACTCTCACAGTTGGCTGCTGCCTGGTCCGGCAGCTGTCACCTCTCATCACGTCCCGACCCTCTATCCGTTCCGGGGACCGTCTCTGCTGCACCGCGCCTCAATAGAGGTCCGGGCCGCGGTCGCCGGCGCTCGGTCGCACTTCCCGTCATCAGCGGTCCACGGCTGTGTCCGCGGCGAGGGAGCCGAGACGGGCCGGCCGGGAAAGCGGGCTACTCATGGGTTGTCAGAATCGTCAAGTCCACAACCAATGGTTAGGCTTTTTAGAAGAATCCGGGATTAGACTTACTGAGACTGGAATAGTACCTAGTCAAGAACGGAGATAGACTGTTTCTCTTTTTGCACCAGTTCAGTTTCCATGAACTTGAACGCCATTTCTTTAATGCATGTGTACCCGAATATAACTGCACAAGTCTCCAATTTTTAGCAGTGTTTGGTGTTGTCGAGTTGTGTTGTGGTTTGTGTCTCTGCTATTTTTAATTTCACTCCCATCACTCTGCTCGATAAACGTAAACAAACTCTTGGATTTCCCCTATTACAACAGCTTTTAAGCGTGTTTATGTTTTCAGACGACTGTTACATTTTTTCGGGAGTATGTGTGGCGTAACACAAACAGAGTAAATATGAAATGCGTTTTTTTATTTTCCATTTAACCCTCTCATGTGTGCGGCGTTTGCCAGCTTCTAATGTGTAGGGGGGGGGGGGGGTCGGTTGGACCCCCCTTGCCGTTTGGCCCCTGATCGAGCTAGAGCTTCGCGGAAAAAACGAGCGTGTTGCCCGTGATGAGAGGAAGCCGATGATACCCAATTTTAAGGTCCTAGGTCATTGGTTGACCTTCCAGGTCAGGTCAATGACCCAAAGTCGGGAAAATCGGGACCTATTAGAAAGTCGTTAAGTGTGGCTGCCAAGGGGTTTTTCGGGGAGCTGATCACGAATATCGTGTTAGTTTTGATCACAGATGATGTCTTTAAGCATTTAGACCAGGTCGGGTCAGGTCAGGTCAGGTCAACCAGTAGGGGTTGTGACGGGTATTCGTAGTATGTGTCAACCGCCTCTGACAGCTTCGTAACATATTACGAAGGCACCAAAACTACTTCGTAAATGTTCAAATGGTTGCTAAATTCGAATTCAGCTCCAAAAACTAGCCTAGAAACATGTAAAACTCGAAAAAGTGAACCGAGGTCACCCGAGGTCACCAAAGGTCAATGACCTGACCTGACCTTCAGGTGACCTTGACACCCATTCTTATGCATGGGAGCAACATCAAATCACATGTTTGAACGTTTGAAACCACGAAAAGCTTGCAAACGCGCGGCTAATGCGAGCCGACATACGCGGAATCGCGATTCCGGCCAAACATGGTCTCGGAAAAGAGGTCACAGGTCAAAGGTCATTTGGGTCAGGGTCATGAAATTTTTAGGGTAGGTGTAAAATTGATCAATGAGAGGGTACTGAAAGTTTCGTCGCGATCGGCCGCTTTTTACGCGAGTTATTTGCGAAAAAACATGGGGGGGTCCATCCGACACCCCCCCCCTACACATGCGAAGTTTAAGATTGAGTAAATGGCTATGTTTTCATGGCATCGAGGCATCACATCACATGCTCTCTTTTGTCGCAATTTATGCAGCTGGCATTTGTACTGGGAGTGATTGTGTTATAAATTGTAACCTTGATTTAAATCTAAATTTTTACATTCGCTTCATAAGCACATCAATCTCTCAGTTGCTGTTTTCCTGCATAAGTCGTATGCTGATACCAGCTGAGTGCCTATCCACTGTTCCACCCTACAGTTCATGACAAGGACTATGTAGTGTTGACTTTCGTCTGCTATTTCATCCGCCTTGGCAGTTTGATTGTCGTGTATTTTTGTTTCCAGATAGAATTGACGAGTCATTTATATTGTCACTTGTCAGTCTCTGATTGTCGTGTCTTGTTTCCAGAGAGAGTTGACGAGTACAACCGGAAACTCGACATGGAGGAAAGAGGTAAAGAATCTATGGCATACCTGGGATTGTGACTGCATTTGAACTTCATTTCTATCATCCGGGCTGTTGTGACATTGCCATCATATTCACCTAACAGTTCATGTATTCAGTTTATGAGGTGTTCATATGTCAAGACAAGAAATAAATTTCGTTTTAAGCGTTATGGAGCATGCGTGTTGAGCCATATCATTTTCTGCGTAGAATTCATGTTAGGCCCTCCAAATATTAAGAACATCAATTACCAACCGACAGCGGATCACTGGTGGCGCCGTTTCCCGTCTCTGCTCTGTCCACCGGGAGGTGTGCCTAAGTATCGCCGTCCCAGCTCTGACGCTCTGTGGTCTCCGCCCTCCCTGTGGTTCTGCCATCAGCTCAGACCCAGGAGCTGATGCTGCGGGAGATCCCCCAGCTCCGGACCGACCCCGCAGCGGCAGCAGCAGCGGCAGCGGGAGGAGCAGCCTCAGCAGCGGCGGGACTCAGTGACCCGTCACCCAGACCCGGTGCCGAGGGCGGGCCGGGACGGACCGGTGCCGGGCCCCCAGCCGCCGCAGCCGCGCCGGGGGCAGGTAACGCCCAGCACTAAAGTGCCGTGCTCCTTTCGTAGCATATTCCCTTTCCAATGTATGCTGCAATTATCTAGCTTCAGACGGCGTACATTCGCATTTACTCGGGTATGCTGTATTGGCTTTTCCGAATTATCTCTGCTATATGTACTGCACTGCTCCTATATACAATTATACATTATACCATCGCGTAAGCCAGTCTCGCCACCTTTCACTACCGCAAGTGCCTGTGACCTGCCACTCTCAATCCCCAGACTCTTGTCAAGCCACTCCAGATTCTCAAACTGAGTGTCTCGCCACCATATCTCTCGATCCTCAGACCTTATACCTCGCCACCATATCTGCATTTCCCCAGACCGAATCTGTCTCGCCTCTGTGCGGTCTGGCTCCCTCCACCCCCGGTATTGGCTCCGACGGCGGCGCCTCAGTCCTCGCCGCAGCCGCCGGGCGCGCTTTGATGGCGCAAAATTAGCCAGCTCTGTCGTGCCGGGCGGCCCGGCGGGCTGGGAGCCGTCCCCCGGGGAGGGAGAGGCAGGCGGGCAGAGAGACGGGGAGGCGCCGCCGGTGCTGCTCTCGTCACCATGGCAACGCCCCGCGCTGTCGCCGCGGGCGGCCGCCGGCACGGCTGACGCGATTTTCCTCTTCCGAGAGCTGAGGGTGGAGCGGAGGCTGCGCGCGGCGCGGGGCCGGCACTCGGCTCCCCGGCGGAGATAATCAGAGACGAGCTCGCCGTGTGGGAGGGGTAGGTGGGAGGGGGTCTGATGAGCGCCGCTGCTGATGAAGCCCGTCGCCGCTCCGCCGCCGGTGCTGAAATGAGCGCGCCGCGGTCCAATGCGCCGGCTGCTGGTGTGGCATTCAGCGCCCCGTTTGATGTTGCAGGCTGGGACGGTGATGAGGACGACTTTCAGACAATGGCCGAGAAGACACTGCGGACCGCGCCGCCGGTGAGGGCCGACCCAGGGGTGGTGGGGTCCTGTCGTGGGCGCTACTGCAGACACTGATACGAGCACTGGACAATTACCGCAGATACATGAACAAGTAGATACATCAATTGGACTTAACTATGAGCTTTAAACGCAAAATCCGTTTCTGCCATTTATTTACTTGCTCATGTATTTGCGGCAGCTGATACAGCGGGCCAGTCGGGAAGAACGAGACACTAAAAGATATAAATGGTTAAATATGACCACTGTAAGTTACGCCAACTCTGCCGTTTGATTGGGACTGGAGAAATGCGAGTATTCAAGCGACTGAAATCGATGCAAGGTCTTGAACCGCCTCTCAGAAGCAATGGACCGCGAGAGGCGCCTTCTGAACCGGCAGTATCCTGCACTATCTTTCGTCTGTGTTTGTTTCAGACCGCCCCGGATGTGTCCATGATGGATACTTCAATGTCCGACGCTGGGGACGAGAATGGACTGCTGAACGGACGAAAGAAAAGACTCAAGTGAGTAACTGCGATGGTTGTAACACAGCGCACTTTTCTGTGACATTGCTGATATCTCATTTTACTGACTGTCTTATAGGCAATCACTTTTTGTCATGGTGGAGCTTGTACTAAAATACTGAAATATAGATCGTCCCTCTGATATGACTAATAGCTACCACAGTGCCGAGCTAACATGGTGACCGTTTCTGATTCCAATTTGATCCGACCATTATTCCTGAACCCTTCCATACCAGACATGAGGTAAGTAGTAACCTCGTTTGATCTTAGCGCCTCAGGCCATCTCAGCCAACCTTACTGTGTCTCAGACTTGCTAGTGCTTTTCGCCATATCCCATTCAGTTAGTATAATGCTATAATTGCACAGTGCGTAATATAACAGCCCAACACCATCTCGCTACACTTCCGATATACATTTTGGCGCCATCTCACCCAAACCCAGACACTATATGACGACCCAGACGACCCCACTCCTCTCCACTCCTCTCGCACGATATCCCCCGGACCGGTTCCGGCCGCGCGGCCACATCAAACCGTCTGTGTCCGGAAGTGTCCGCTTTGTCCGCTTTGTCCGCCGCTGTCTGGCCAGTAATGAGCGGTGCCGGCTGACGTCTCTGGTTACCGGGCGATGAACACGGCCGCTCCCAGGCGGCATGGCGCTCTCGTGGGTATAGGCACTGTGCCGGTCGGGACTGCGGGCTGCCGCTCCCGCACTGGGCCGGTTGCACTGCGGGCTGGCGGCGGTTTTAGCGTCGCACTTACCGGTGCTTCTCTTGGGGCTGGTGATGGTGATTTGGGCGCGCTAACCAGTGTTGCGATTGGCCCTTTGCTTTGGCTTGTATTTTAGTTGTGATACATTTTATACACATTTTAACGTTATAGACACGTGCATTCTAACCAGGCTATGCTAGGTTCTTGTGTGGAAAACGTTCAAGCTTAAAGGTAGTGTGCCACCTTTGAAAGATTTCCCATTTTATTTTTCCTAGGATAACAAGCTTCTGTTTTTACCTAATATCGCAAAGAAAATCAAAAATGGGCCTGGAATAGTGCCTTTTTCGCCTAAAAGTTTATCGGTTTTTCGATATGTATAACAACTGTAGTGGGCTGACCTGCAAACAGGCGTCGGCAACAATCGCGAATGCGGCGCTCATGTGACAATAAGCAAAGGTCATTATAGAGTTACGACGTACGGGAATGAGTTATCAGCTGTCTAATCGTAGACAACACAATGTCGAGCCTTAACCCGCGCGGGGCTGGGGGGTAAATTTTACCCCCCCTCGCGAATTTTTGCAATATCTCAAAAACGGCGGCGCGCAGCGCCGCCAAACTTTCAGTACCTTTTCTTACATCAATTTGACACGTTCGCTGCAAATTTGAGCGAAATCCGTCGGAAAATTTTTGAGAAATTGACGTTTTAGTGACGTCATGTTCGCCATTTTCGCCTCAAAAACGGCAAAAGTTCAAACGCCGCTAACATCTTCATTTTTAAAGGAATCAAGACGTAACAAAAAAGGATATACGTAATTCTACTTTGTCTATCAAATGGCTATCTCGGTTTTTTGAAAATTTTGGATTTTGGCCCAATTTTTTTCAAAAAACTGACTTTTTTGGGAAAATGGCTATAAATTCCAAAATTTTGAGTGTATCGAAAAAACCGGAATATATGTCAGAGAAGTGGTCTATGTGTACCTACATACCAAGTTTTAGAAGAATCGGTTCAAAAATGTGGGAGTTATTCAAAATTGTATGACGTCACGACACACAAAAATTTTGAAAAATGACTTTTTTGGAAGTTCTAGACCTCGTACGGAAACAAAAATAGCACCATTCGATTCGCCGTGAAAAACTGCATCAGATAGACACCTTTTTAGGCCTTAACAACCAACTTCAAAATTTGACCTCACTTGACCTGACCTTGACCTTGACCTCAAACTTAAAATTAAGTACATGTTTTTAGTTGTTCGTGATGAGATCTTTCGATTGGCGTTTGAATTTTCCAAATCGGACCATTAGTTCGGGAGATAACAGGGGGGGGGGTAAAATTTACCCCCCCCCCCAGCCCCGCACGTTCGGCTGGAGACCCCAGCCCCGCGCGGGTTAAACTGTAAGCCTGTATTGGTATTGTTTCTTTTATTTGGCTGTCGAACATTATTTATGGTTTGAAATATGATTTTATGTAAAATAATTGATATGAAAAAGCCGTCTCTTAAGTTATGACCCCATTTCACCACACGCAAGTGGCAGAAATGACAATGATCAGCTGACGCATTTTTCTTGGCCGAAGTCAGAGCGCGCGGCCCGACGCACCACCACCGCACCACAAAGTATGAGCAGAAGCCACGCCTAAAGCCAGGGCCCCGGTAACGTGAGGTAGCCGAGTCGGGGCAGCGTGCGCTGACCCAAGCCGGGGCCGCAGCTTTGGGCGCGGTCTACCGCATCCCCGCGGGCAGCCCCGGGCTATCACATGACACCGGGAGGACGCGCGGCCCCGGCTTGGGTCAGCGCACGCTGCCCCGACTCGGCTACCTCACGTTACCGGGGCCCTGGCTTTGGGCGCGGTCTACCGCACCACCTAACAGGCGTGTTCGAAACCGCAGGAGATGATGATGAACGGGTTTATCGAAACTTGATTGGATGAGCATATCGGTAATAGCGATTTCAGTGTGTGCATTTATTGTTCATAGTGGTGTGAAATGTGGTTGGGGTACGACCGACAACCCGTCGGGGCGAATTTCGCACTGGGGTACTCAAAATTTGAAGAATTTAAGACGTTTCCATGAGTTTTGAAGGTATGGATAAGTTCTAAAAATCCGGTTCTCCTTATCTGGGCCATTAACTCCATACGGTCCAGGAAAGCTGGCACACTACCTTTAACAAGATGCCTTGTTTTCGCACTGTAATGTGAAAATGCGTTGTTAAAGTGTGATGATATCCTTTGTAGAAAGGATTGTCTGTACGCTCAGCTGCTTTTCGATTGCTTATTATCTTTTCTCTGAGACTCGGCCTTACGTAACTACCGGCACTTAGTGTATTCACCGCAGTACACACCACTTGTGTCTCCTATCCTTCCCTGTGACCTGATGGCTCGTGGAAGGAGGATTCAAGGGACGCTGCGCTTTGAGGACGTTGTGTCTATTTTGTAAGCCCGTGATTGATTTTCAGAGTGGGATGAGAGGTAGACAGATGTCACAAAGGCATAATCCCATCAGCATTCACAAAACCACTGCAATGTCAGTCAGTTGTCACATCCGACCCTGCTGTAATTATCGACAAGACGACACCGCCGATACTCACGGCCTCTTCGTCACTGAATAATTGATATTGGATTGAACAGACAATGTCAATTTTGCTACCCCTGATTTGTACGTGCAACTGATATTGCATTTGTCGTAGCGCTCGCCTTAATATATTTCGTAAATGTCTGAATATATTTTGAAACGAAGCCCTTTTTAACTTTCTTATTTGTTGCAGAAAGCCGAAGATATATTTCGGAACACGGACTCACAAACAAATCGCTCAAATCACACGGGAGCTGCGAAGAACCAACTACAAGCACGCAAAGTGAGTACGACATTTTCGCTCATGTCTTCACTTTCAACTGATATTATTTTCACTTGGGATAAGAGCTGGGCCTGCAGTACGTGTACAGGTATCTGGCCTGATCTCAATCCCAATGACCGTAATGTAAGTTAAATGTTTCTATCGATATTGTGAATCGGGCGCTGAACTTCGTAAAGCAATTACGCCCAGCTTTTACGCTTCTCGTGTATTGATAAAGTTTGTTTTGATTCGAGGTGTTCTTTTTTCGAATTTCAAGCAATTCACCATATTTTTGTGTAGCTGCGTGGTATTCGGGACATCATTTCTGAAAGCAATAAGTAGGCAATATTTCAGCAATTTTCAATATGTACAGGGTGTCCCATAAGTTCGTTCTCACCTAAATTTTACGTTTTTAGGCTCTCTTGCTTAAAGGCACGCTGAAATTGGTTCGTTACTGGGCTTACGTGGTTGCCATGGCTGGTAGAAATATGCTCCACAGTAACTAATTTCTGTAGACAAAATAGTTTTTGCTAGAGAGCCCGTTTCCTACACAGACGGCTAACGCCGCAACATAGAGGTCTCCAATACGGGTACGTCTCGGTATTTAGTCAGCACGTGACCATTCGCGACGATTGAGGGTGATTGAGGCCTACCAGTCTGTAGACAATGTCCATCGCTAACTGGACGCACAGTCAGCAAGTGACACCGATGATTTGTCGGGAGTCAATCATTGCAAGTTTATCCTCTTTTTTTTTTGTCAGCTCTCAGGAGTGAGCCATGTGGCCAAAACTGTGTGGCGCCAAAGTGGCCATCAAAAAGGTCAAAGGGTTAGAAAGTTGGTAAACAGACTTTTCAGGATGGATTACCAGCTGTCTAAGAGTGTTCTTTCGGGGTACATAACTCAAGGTGACTTAAGCTTTGCTTACCGGAGGGCTCAAAACAGTCAAAAACGTCTTAAAATGGCCAAACATGGGTTTCGTTATGCCTGAGGCTAAAAAAACTAAAGGGCTGAGGACATCAACCAGGTCATCTGGATTAACTAGACCACGTTCGAGATGAAACACCCGTCCAAACCCGAAAACAACCCCATAAGGGCGAAGGAGGAGGCCTCCGTTTCGTCCCGTTATGTTCCTATGCGAAAGGCCAAGGTCACGGTATTGTGGGGTTATAGGCGTCCAGACGCTGACCAGGTTGCGAATGGTGTCCCAGAAACAGCTTTGGGAAGCATAATGCTTTTCCAAGAACATCTAGGAGGAGTTTCAACCCTCAAGCTTAACTCGAACCGCGAGTATGAACACATTTATAGAGGGGAAAATGACATCCGAGAGGTCGTAGGCCCATCTTTAGGCAAGACAGTGCATCAGTGCACAGGTCAAGCAAAGCTTAAAAGCGGTGCAAGGAGACTGTGACAGGCGTTTGTGGCAAGACCACATGCCAGGCACCTCATCGGATCAAAATTTCATAAAAATTTGTTGGTTATGCTGAAAATTAGGCTCGTCGAAGCGTAGCGCTGTTCCAGCCTCGAGGAGCTCACGACGCATGTCAGGCCACTCTGGATTAACTTTAAGCTTGCTATGCAGCCAAACATGCCGGTTGGCATGCCAGCATGTGTTCATGTATTTGCCTATTAAATGGGGAGCACATTGAGGTGTCACAAATATATCAAGACGCAATGTACTCTGTTTCACATGCAAATATAATGTGAGAACGAACTTATGAGACACCCTGTACTGTGTTCTCTGCTAACATTCCAAGTCCACCTTGTCCGTTGCGTTATTTTCCCGGTGTCATACCCCGAAAGAAGAAGCTGCGGTGCAGGCTCAATTCTGGCCATTTTCCCAGCACATCCGCCATACCCGATCAAGACGTGTTCCCTGTCTTGGTACTGCAATTTATTGTTATTTTGACCTTGTTTTGTGGCCTACTGACTGTGTTGACATATCCGTTCATAGTTGTACTCGCTGTCATAGCGGCGCTGGCTGGGATGCCGCCTCCGACCGATACCAGTAGCCCGGTAATGCTGTGTCCTACAGGGTGTTGCGCCTTTTTAACCTCAATTTTGTACAGATGTTACTACATTTTGTGTGTATATCCTAGGGACTATGTTGATTTTTTCAACATAATATACAGTTGTTATGATCTTGTGGGAAAATATCTCCGCCATTTATGGTCGTGTCTTGACAATTCCAGTCGCGTCTAGCATAATGGTGTTACTTACGTAGAAAGCTAAACGGGCTCATCACACCCATGAATACAAGGCAACATATTCATGAGATAGAGCGATGTCTGACAAAGAGAAGAAAGAAAAAACTAGTATTCCGAGTTACTGAAGCTCATTCATTGGTACCTTTTTTACAAATCTGAATCAATGTTAAATTTGGAACATAAGACGTGCTGCCAGCATACACGAGAAATGGTAACAGCATGACGCATAAAGCGATCAAAAGACCTTCGATCCCCTCTGTCTGATTTTCCCCACCATTTAACATTCATCCTGTCTGATCGGAGATCGGATTGCGATCGCGCTGACCCGGTGTGTCTGCTCTGCGTGGCGCATTGAGAGGTCCAGGCGGGGCGCGACCGGGGGCGGCGGGCAGCGGCGCCCGCTCCTTTCACGGTGCACCTCTCGGGACACCAATCAATAGCGGCTATTGGGCGCCATGGGTGCCGCCATCACCGCCGGCGCCCCCAGCCCAAGGCCGGGTCGGCGGGCTGCGGCCGGCGCTCACACGGGGCGCGCCGCTGCCGACGCCGGCGGTGTCCGGAGGTGGCGGCCGGCCCGGCGCCCTCGGCGCTCAATAGCGCCGCTCACTGCACCCGAGCCTACCCGACATTGTGCCCGGCTCAAAGCGGCGGCGGCTACCGCCGGCGGGCGACGCTTTCATCCCGTCCGACAGACGGCGGGGGATGGGGCGCTGCGAATGAAGGGTGCTAGCGACGCGCTCGGCGGGGGGCGGTCGGCGGCGACCAATCGCAGCCGGCGCTATTGATTGGCAGCATGGCGTCCGCCGCCGCCGCTCGGTGACGATGGCTGCACGGGACCGCGGCAGCTGCAGCGACGGCCGCTGAAAGCGGAGCTGAGGGTGGTAGAACAGACAGACTGGCGTGCGTGCCTACCAGACAGAGATTATTAAACATGCCAATATTAAATATAAAAATATACCTAAGCCTTATTAACTTTCGTCTTTATTTCATTTTGTTTGGGAATCGGAAAGATTGGCAAGACCAGGCCACACAGCTTATGGGTACCGAGCGACTACCAACCGATCAAGAAAAGGAAGCAATACAGACGTATGGTCATTGGTCAATGACACTGAAAAGTCTTTGCTCCGAATCTTGTGGGCCCTGAAAATGATATTGACACGTCATTGGTCCCTCGTTCCGTTGCTACATTTCTTACCTGAATGTGCGTACCAATTCGCTACTTTTTTGCGGCGGTCTAACGGAGATGTAACCGAAAGTCAGGCTATGAAATATTTGATATTTTTACTGGTCCATCGACTTTTTTAAACCAACTTGTAAGAAATGGAACAAGCGCTCGCTTAAGAAATTTGCAGTGATAGTTTTTTTTTCAAAAGTCCTGTGCATCACACACAAGTGTATTTTTGGAGCTCCTGACATTGGGCTGTGCGAATTGTCGTGTGATTGCCGCTGTTCGCAGAGGATCAGTCGGCATTCGCCACTCATCAAAGGCCACATTTTCATGCTTGGAATAGGCATTCATCGCTATCAAAGAGCTTAGGAAACACAACTACTGGTGATCAAAATATTTATGTTTGTGTGCCTAAAAGAGCTTTAGCCTTTAAGGTATGTCGACAGATAAGTCGTAAGGTCAGTCAGAGTCTGTATATCGGCACAAACATTTTTGATACCCACATGACCCTATACTCAGGGGCGTAGGCAGGGGGGGGGGCCACTGGGCCATGGCCCCCCCCCCCCTTGGGCGCCGAAGGCGCCCTTTGCGATTGGAGGGCGCCGAAGGCGCCCTCCAATCGCAAATGCAATTGTAATAGAATCGAATCGAAAAACAATCGCGACTGGAGGGCGCCCAATCGCGAATGTGTTTGCAGGGAAAATACGGTTGGAGGGCGCCTTCGGAGGGCGCCATTCCAAATACGCACTCCAAATACGATTGGAGGGCTCCCTTGGGCGCCCTCCAACCGCATTTGTAGGCTAAAGCTTTCTAAGCGTAGCGGTAGTCGCCTATGTAAGCCTGTTGATCGCTGCCCTCCTACCCACTGGCGCCCTCATTTGATCGTTGTACTCCTACCTATTGGCGCTCTCTGGTAAACAGGCGCCCTCTCACCCGAAGGCGCCCTCCTGTAGGTCGCCACCTTGCCCTACACAATGGTGCCCTTCTGCTGGTCGGCACCCTCATAATTATTGGCGCTCTCCCACCAATTGTGCCCTCGTGAAATTTTGATGGCCGCCCTCCTCCCTTTTGGCACCCTCTTGTTGAGTGCCACCCTTCTAGCCATTGCATGGCGCCCTCTTACCTATTGGTTCCCTAGTCCCTCCTGTTGAATGTTAATCGGGGCCTTTCTACCTATTGGCGCCCTCTTGTTGATCGCCGCCCTCCTAACCACTGACGCCCTCCTGTTGATCGCCGCCCTCCTACCCACTGGCACTTTCCTGCTAAATTGGCGCCCTCCCCACAGATCCCCTCCTGTTTAATGTCATCCTCTTGGGCAAAGGCACCCTCCTCACCATTGCCACCCTCCTGTTGAACTTGATCGTCACCCTTCCACTCATTGGCGACCTCTTGTTGATCGCCACCTTCCTATCTATTGGTGCTCTCCTGTTCCTTGCCGCCCTCTCACCTGGTGGCACTCTCCTGTTGATTGTTGATCGGGGCCCTCCTACCTATTGGCGCCCTCCTGTTGATCGCCGCCCTTCTACCCATTGGCGCCATCCTGCTGCTTGCCACCCTCCTACCTATCGGTGCCCTCCTGTCGAAACTCGGGATGTTGATCGGGGCTCTCCTACCTATTAGCGACCTCCTGTCGATCGCAGGCAGCCCT